CCTGTATTTTGTACGAAATTTTATGTTTAATTGTTTACTATTAAATTATTTATAGTTATAAGCTTATATTGGTTCTTAATCGATTTGATAAAAAGTAAAGTTAACGTTTAAGAAAATATAGTAAGTTTTCGAGGATATATATATATATATCATCAATCAGTTTAGTAACTAACATTTGAGAATACCACGATTGACGTGATTGCATTACAATTTGATGGTCTATTTCAACGAGGTCATTTATTTTTCAATAACTGTTTTGTATAAACTTATCAGAGTTGATTGTAAAGGACGTATATCATAAGTGTATGGTAATAAAGTTTTGATGAATAGCTGTGCACTTTTATAGAAATTATCATAACACGAAAAAAACCACCAAACAATAAATACAAGGTCACTTACTTTCATAATACTAAAAATTATAGAAAATTAAATTTAGAAGAAACTAAAAGCTATTCTTTGTCTTTCTCCATCTCAATTGTTTAAAGTAATATTTGAATAATAACTTGAAATAATGTATTAGTATGCCATGTCATCGTATTCAAAATATATTTTCGAGTGAAGGTCGGAAAAGTATATTCGTTAAAAGTTTTACTAATTATTAAGTTGTGAAGATAATATATAACGAAATAAAAAAATACTTAACGTTGATGCCATAAATCTCATCGTATTTTAATCAATTTAGAGAAAATATATTACTTAATTGATAAATATTTCAACCTACTCGATAATACAAAACACTAAAGCCCCTAAATTGCCTATACAATGCGCCGTCTTACATATTGGATCGTGCGAAATTGTGAATTTAATTAGGTCTCTAGTAGATGTATTACTACGTTCATTAACAGTGTAACACGATACATTTTTTTTTGTAATAAAGACTTAAAATCTAAAAAAAAAAAATCCTAAATAAAATCTTTGAATTTTATATAGTTCAAGTTAAAGACAATAGTATTAATTTTATTGAATAACGGCATACCGTCCAAGATCATTTAATGGTTGCTTAAAATGAAAATGATCCTGGTTAAATTTCTATCGTATAACTGATAAAATAAAATAGTATAGTCATAACGTAATTTATAATTTATAGTTATATACAATTTGTTATATTCAAAAATTATCGAAGACAAAAATATTCTCTTTATAATAAATGTATTTATTTCATTGATAAAAATATTATTTAAAAAATCTGAATTAAAACAAAGTTTGTTCTTAATGTAAATTTTAAGCTACAGAAAATAGTTCATAGCTAGCTCAAACTAATTAACATATAGTTAAGTATGTTCAATATGGTTTCCTTCAGTTACGTGATTAAGATCCTAAATAAATTTGTATGATAAAAAAAATAAAATGCATTATAGGTCTTATTACATGTGTATTTAAATAGAATATTTACAATCAATTATGGACTAAAATGTAATTCAATTTACCCTAATAATGTAATTATATTTATGAGACATTACATATGCATGTCACGTAATTATATTTAATTATTGGTTTTTGTTTTTCTACGGTACTAAGAGCTTGAAAATATCAACTTGGATCGTTAAGTTTTATAAATTATTTAAAATTATGATTTGATCGATAGGTTCAGCTAAGCCTTTATTCTTTTAAAATATAATGCTTTACTCATAATTTTGAATTATACAATATGAATATTTAATCCATGATTACGCACCACGAATCGGTATTATTATATTTTTTTCAATGAATGATAACCAGATGTGATTGTAATCACCTATCATTATTTTTGAAACGTCAGATATGTCGGATGATATAACAAAACAGAGTAAATATAGTTGTGATTATGAACAAATATATTAATAAGTGAACAGGTTATATAATGACAATATTATACAACAAATATGAGTTCTTTCGCTTATGTCTTAATGGATGTTTAAAATTGTTTATGAGAAATATGTATTTTTCCTTTTTTTTTTTTATTGATAAGTTTATTTTTCATAAAAATATAGTTTCCATTGTATAACTATAAATGTGTTGTTTAATTAGTTTTATGTTAGTTACACAAACATAAATAAAATAGTTTTCTGTTCAAATTTCAATATTACTACCAATTAAACAGACAAAATAAATACTTAGGAAATAATAAAGAAATTAAAATAACTGACTAAATATTTTTTATAGGAAAATTACGTAAAATAAATAAATACAAACTAATAACTAATAAATCTGGAATTTATAAAAATAAAAAATAAATTTCAATGATAAAGAACAATCAATTCTGAACAAGAATTAGACAAATAACAAATATCAGGAAAACATGCAAACTGTCAATAATAATATAGTTTTTACATCTTAGTCACAAACGATTATTTAATATTTAAAAAAAAGTGAAGACTCATGAGCAAATATCTACATTTCTTTCTGTTGGAAAAGGAAAAAATATATATACTATTAATGCTGTATTGAATAAGTGTCCCACTCAGATGCACAAAATAAAAAATGTATAAAAAAAAGATATTCCAATACAATTAAAAAACAATATAAGTATATAATAATAAGTATATAATTCCAATACAAGTTATCTCTATACACGGCTCAAGATTGTTCTTACAATCGAATAACTATATACTGTGAGATAGAAAAATAAATGTTTGAATTTAATATACTTGTAAAACGATATATCTAATATAAACTGATTAATGTCACTAAGAAAGTGGGTCTTTATTTTTTATTTATGAATCTAATATGCATATTATGCATTTAAGTGATTTATTTTAATAAGAGTTTTAATCTCATAATTCGTCAACTCTTCTTTATGTGTATTAGCAGTAGCATTAAATTTTAACTGATAATATAGTTAGTTTAAACTGCGAGTTTAGCTATGGCGTGTAATTATTGGTTTAATTTTAATTTTTTATTTTTTTCTATTCCAATTCTATTCCAAAACGGTATATAAATTACATAAATTTGATATTCGAGTGCTTAAAAACAATCCCAATAAAGAAATGTATATTTTCCTACTCTAATTAGAGTCTAATAAGATTTTTCTGCATTTTCATAATCGTTAATGTTAAATAAGATCTGTTAAAAATTGTTGATATATATATCACTTATATCAGTGCTTAATTTAAATGTATTTTTTTTGTAATTAACTTAATTTATTAATTGAAGTTAAGTTCACGATATTTTATAACTAAACTTTTAACTTAATTTATGTCATTCTCATGTGCATTAACTTTATTGTTAACTTAACTGAATATGAACTCAATTAACTTAACGAAGTTAAAAATATCATTTGCCCAGCCTTGGTTTTAATGAATGATTTTTTACACTGGTATAAGACTTTTTTCCATTAAATCTAATTCATTCGAATCCATTGTGAACTATATTAATACTTAAAAAATTATAGTGCAGAAACAGATAAATCAACATTGTATGCGTGTAACTGTTAAACTATTACTAAACTTTAAACCTTAAAATTGTATTGATGATCTTAATAATTATATATGTATAACAATAATTTTATTCAACACGATAAACATACATGAATACAGCAGTCACAAGAACGTCATTTTTATCCAATTAATTGCTGTGAAGAACAGTAAAATAACGATTTTGTACATGGACGAACGTATCAATTTGACATATTAACGACAGAATGTATAAAATATCTGGTTAAAGTATAAATTATATACATTACCTACACGTTTTAGTTATTTTATAAATTACCTAGTTATTTCATAAACTAACTGTAACATACATATACTTAACCTAATGTATAATTATAATTATATAAAAATATAATATCATTCCTCTTGATATAAATGTATACATAAATAAATAAAAGTAAATAAATAAATAATAAATAAAAATACATAAAAATTTAAATATAAATATATACACTGCATATATCGCGTTTGATACAATACATATAAGTTTTAATTACTTGATTCAAAAACCTTTTACCAACCTATTATCTAAATATCGATCTAGTATGAATAAACAATGTATATATTGTGTATGTGAAAGAATGTGTGAATACATACATGAGTTTATGTTTCCGCATGTGGATGTGTGTGTGTGTATGCGTGTGTATTTATATATTCGAATGTAGATATATATATATATATTATCACGCAAATAAATCATTGTTTGAGAATAAATCGCTTAGCTTTTCGCGCCAACTGAAAAGTGTCTGTCTGTTTATTATTTTTTTTACTATTTGTAGTATATTTCATGTTAAAATACCTTTCTATAAGTACAGTTAATATTATTGTACCGTAAATATATATTCGTATACGTATTATTGTATATTTCCTATACTTTATTAAATGTAAACGTTATTCTTCTTCCAAGAAATATTTGTTCTAATAAATCTCCTGTTTTTTAATTTATATCTACATGTAAAAAGACGTATAACTGTTGCGAGCATTCTGCACTTTTCTGCAACAGTGAACGAAATTTAAGTATGTGTCTGTATAAAACCAATTTAAAGGCGTATTGATACTACATATCGAAAGAATCTCATGAACCTTATCCCCTTATCCGAATTAAAAATATATAATTATAAAAATATTTATATTTTTGTGACAAATATTCAATACCCAGTACAAATAATATAGGAGATATACTATTTTAATATGCACTACATGAAATGGCAAGTGTTATATATCGCTATTTGCTTTCAATATTTTCAAGATAATATTTCTACAATCCGGATTAAAACACTCACCTGCTGATTTAATGATTATAATATAATATAATATAATAATTATATACACTACCTTTACATGTAGATCAAATTTAAAATAAAACAAATATATATATATATATATATGTGTGTGTGTGTGTGTGTGTTATTTAAATTTGATCTACACACAAAGCTAGTGTTATAATTATAATATTAACTCTTAGAATTACAGATTTTTGTACATTTTATTTAACTTGAAATTAAAAATATAAATATTTTTACAAATATTGTTATAATTTCAAATATCACAAATCAAAACTAAATATATTATGTATATCGATATTCTTACTTGTTGGTTGACTATATTTTTGTATTATACGTAAAGCAACTGCTGTATTATCTGAAAAAATTAAAAAAGTTACTATTATAGACAAATCGGATTTAAAACTTATATTTAAAAACAATTTGTTAAAATTTAACATCATACAAGTATTTCAATGAAGTACGATATTTGTATTGATTTTGACAATAGAATTTACGAAAATACAAATTCATTGTAAAATACAATGTATTTTTAAATACACTGAAAAACATTAATTTAACAATAAATAATGGTGTTTAACACAGCGCATGATTTGGTACAAAATATTTTTTAAAGATTTTCACTACTATTTTGGGAAAACTTAAAATTATTACTAACGATGAACTACTCTTAAATAGTTCTTTATCAAATACCATAATATTTAGTAATTTAATAAAATATATAATAACACTATATTAGGTTGAATAAAATATAACAAAAAATAAATAAAATGAGTACACATTAAATCTTTGAATTTGTATAAGTGCAGTGTTTGTTACGATACCGTCTCCATTTGTTTTCTATTTTTTCTTTAACCATATTACTTTCATTATTTTCATTTTTTCTCCGAGTCAAGATAGACAAAATACGTTTTAAGCCATGCAAAAGAACCAACTTTAATATTATTACTCAATGTTACTTATTTTATCGTCCTACGAGTTTTTCTCTAAACTTTGGTGAATGATCGATCGATTGTGAACCTTTTTTTTTCTTTATATTCGCTATACTAAATGCATTGTGTATGTTTACTAGTATACTTTAAAAATATTTACATAGAAGACATGCTCAAGTCAACAAAAAAAGATTATTAGAAGTGTTTCGACGTGTAATATAACAATAAGTACCTCGCGTTTTTGTAAGTAACACGCACTCAGTCTTATTGCAAATTTTTCAACAAGTTTTTTTTTTGTTATCAGTGTGCCTATGTGATTAATAAAAAAAAAAAAAAAAAAACAATTGAAGTACGATGTTTGTCACCGTTTTCACTTTGATGAATTACAAAATGCCATCGATTTGGTCGAATAGATTAATTAATTAAAATACTGCTATGCACAATAGTTAGCCTCAGAAATTATTACAATATAACTGTTGTAAAGAATTATTATTATCAACTCACTTTATAACACAGATATGAGTATATATTAAACGGAAAAAACTATGCAGTTTAAAATACTAACATCGATTATATTATTAAAGGAAATTCGGTCATTAGACGTGCAGTTTAATAACGTAGATTTTTTATTTATTAAATTTGATAATGTTTTCCTCAGAAATTATTTATACGTAATTGGCCGTAGTTGTAAAAAAAAACATTATGTACCGGATGGGAAATTGTGGTCAAATTAGACGTCATTCGGTGAAAATAATTGGTTCAATAAAATGTGTTTCGACATCACTTATACTATTGTAAACATGTTGAACGAATTAAATTATTGTTGTATAAAAAATGTTTTCATCATTCTTATGATAAAATATGAAGAACCATAATTTAATATGATAGTAAAATATCTTCAAAAACTGATTATTTTATCTTGGTCGTAGGACTTGGAGTTTCTCCAAACTGAAATCTCCATGACCGATGAAATATTCAAATGATTTAGACAAATAATATTGTCGGGTAGGATTTATTGGATAAAAATTTGGTGTTGCTAGTATTCTCGTTGGATATAGATATTATGCTGTGTACTCTTACACACTCACATATATATATATATAAATAACTTAACGCTGATTTATCTTATTTAATTACGTTCCAAAAATTACGAGTTGAGTAAAATGTGTACCGCGTTACAATCGAACGGAAACGTCTGCAAAGATTTCGCGCGTATATATTTGAATGATAATCTGACATCCTCTTATCATTTGTCTCACGCGCTGCCACTGAAGCCTATGATCCCGCTTCCCACTCCCCCCATAGCCTTTGTATATTCTTTCGTCTTTCGTCATTTCGTTTTCAGCGGCGTCCACGTGTTGGATTTTTCATTAAAGTTACCTTTAAACATATGCACACGGAAACTGCCGATGAAACCAATAATTTAATTACTTCGGGAAACACGGCGTTCACGCGACGAACAAATGATATTTCGTGTTTGCATAAATTTACACGTGCTATGCACACGCACAACGGTTGATCGACGTATTAATACCATTGACGGTTCAATTGTTATGATTTAGTTTATGATATTATCATCGTCTTCCTGATAATAATTAACCAGTGTAAATCGAACGGATTTCGTCACAATACTGATCAACCCAACAGTAATGTTTTGGTACTTAGATTAATACCGAATACGCGGCATTTATTTTTTAACAAATTTCAAGAAAGCTGTGCGATACGTGAGTATGTGATGCGGTCGATAAATTAATATTGATCTCGGTAAGGCGATCGATTGTTCATCGCCGAACGGTTAAACGACGGAAATCTTACGGAGCCAGTGCGAAAATCGATTATACCGCGTAACCGTTCGCAGCACAGGCAGCGTAACGCGTCTGATGTCACTCGAGTGTTTTCCATAAAACGATTGTAGGTAACGTCGTGTAAAATCACACGAAACGCAAATAAAATACGAAAATTCTTCGAGCGGTCCGCGCGTGAAAACACAATTCAATGCCAATAATTGTTGTTGAATTCCCGCGTAGGGTTCGCCGCGACGGGTGCGTGCGTTGTATACACGGTGCGTCAGAAAATTACATTTTGCGCGTGCACGGTACACAAGTAGCGGAATTAATTCCTTTGTTCTTCTTGAATGGACCACGTAAATCCTTGGGTAAATGGTTAGTATTCGTAACATAACGGTGAACTTTGCCGTGAAGTTTCTCGAAACTCCCACGGGAACTTTGCATTAGAATCTCATCGAATGTGTTCATGTTAAATATTTAAGATTTCGATTTAAAATTTAAAGACTTTTAAAATCGACGATGAAATAAATTTAAAAATAAATAAATTAGCGTGCGCTCCAGCAGGTGAATCGCATAGCAGCAGTGTGAGTGGATAAAGTTTCGTTTATCGTTTAATATTTACAACGCGATTTAAATTTTATAACTGTTGCGGGTAAATATAAACAGTCGTCATATTTTCTTTTATTTTTTCATGCGCCTATTAATACGAACTTCCGAAATCGGATCAAATATAATAAATGGTATCATTTATTGCTATGGTTTTATTTTTGAACAGTTTCTTCATTATTAATACTACCCAGACAAGTTCTCGTATAACAAATATGAAAATACCGTCTATGCTTATGTATCTTACTCTAGTTTTGATATGTAATTTTTTTTTCGGTTTCCCCATTGAGAATTTTTATTGTATCTTTTACGAAAAATTCACTATACAGACACGTATTTAAAAGAAATGTTTGAATTTACGGATTAGTTTAACAGAATTTACAATTTTTTAGTTTGCAACTACATCCGTATATAGTTTTAGTATTTTAAGTCTTGATTATGATTATTGGAGGGGCCTGGTGCCAAACAATTTTAAGGGTCCATAAACGTACCAAATCAAAATCTTGGTGAACCATACATAAATATATTTCAGAGACAAAAAAATTATAATTTATATTAATAATTATAAATTCTAATTTATAAATTTATTTCTTGATTTTTTAAATATAAAAATAAAAATGTTATTTGTATTATACCATCGGTATTAATAACCTCCAAAACATAACTATCTGAACACAGAACCATAAAACTATTTAAATTTTCTTGAGAACTGCTCGTTCTATACTTGTTTTTTATATGAGCTAAAAAAAGAGGTAATAAAACGAAAAAACCTACTATCCGTCAGGAGCCCACTGATGTTTGATATCCATTATGGGCTCGGGGCCATGGCCCTTTCTGCCACCCCCCCCCCCCAATCCAGGTTTGATGCAATATAATAATTATAAGTCAAAATAATAAATAAATGATTATAATTATAATAAAATTTATTATTTATTTAATTATTATTATTTAATTTATGATAATAATAATTATTATAGTTGTGTTATACCGGTATGTATCTATGAAAGATTTAAGATAAATTATTGCTGTAAGCCCAATAAAGTAAAAGTTTATTAATATCAAGCTATACATTTAAGTACATACACTCTAAACATTTTAATTATATTCCAATTTTAATTATGAATCGTTTATGTAAAATATACTTTGTTGGTATGAATAAGGTGACGTAGAATTATAGCTTCACATTTTAATGATACTATATATACTAAAATGCATCATTACGTTTTCATTTGGTAGTTTTAATTGTTTTTTTTTTTCTAAATAAGAAAAATACTTCTTTTCTACTCGAAACAAAAGCCATCGAATGAATAACTCCTGTGTACAAACTACTACGTGATACAATGATCATACTTCTACGCGACTTATAAAAAGTTGTGTTCATTAAAATGATCACTATTTATTTTGTGTTACCATTAATGAGAGCATGTTATGTTGAAAAAAACATATAACCTTACATTACGTTTAAATCTTTGTTCATTATAATTTAATATTTTAAGGTTGACTGAGAAAAATTATTTTTACAACTTTTTATGACAATGCTTTAATATTTTCATAATTTAAAGATATACTATACAATATAAATGTATATTATACTACTAGTTAATCAACTCAATTTCATTTGGAAGACATTCAACTATTTAAGAAATGTTAGAGCAATTACTACTTCGACATTAAAAAGTATTGTTAGATTGAAAAAAGTGCACGACCATCATATATGATTTTTGTGTTTTGTAATTTATACTTTATTAATGTATATACTCATATACATTATTAGGTAGTTATTAAAATTAATATATTAAACAGAATTAAATATTTCTTTGGTGTCCAAAAAGTGAAAAATGTTATATACCCAGAATTAAAAAAACTGTTTTGAACCTTAACCTACACGTAGTAATAATATTATCCTCTCAAAACGACAAATTAATGTATAATTCTGACTGTACGCTTATCAGTCAGAAAGTGAGTGATATATGAGTTATAAATAATATAACGTATACCAACCTTTAATGTTTCCTCATAATTTTCAACTTTAT